CCTCTTCTTCGGCTTCACATCTCTATAGAGCGCACAAACCTTTAGATTATATGAATGTCTATTGATTTTTGAGAGGTTCAACATTTACAACACTATATATGTATTGTTTTCCACTTTCTCTCTCTCTCTCTCTCTCTCTCTCTCAGCACTCACTCACCCGTTGTTATAATCACACATCACTTTCCCATTAGAATCGATGCATTTGTTGACAAAATTAATATTAATTTTATATTTTGTTATTTGCTTTCTCTTAAAGTAAACTTAATTTTCTCTTTTCGTTACAACTATTAACACACAAACGATTGAACAAAATGTTAGACAAATAATAAGTGTGTTAATGTATTTGAGCCCAAAATATAATGTTTATGACTTTATGTAATTGACTTCTGGGAGAGTATCGCTGTATTGGTATTAAAATGTTTGATTTAATAGACATTAAAATACACTAAAAGTTGTGTTTTATATCAGTTTTCATGTAATAATTTTGTAAAGAAAACCACTTTTCATATAATAAACATATTTGAGACATATTTTAACGTTTATACAAATTTTTTTAATTACACTTAAATATAATATATTTTTAATACATATAATATTATTATTAAACATACTAGTCTACTACCCGTCAAATCTCATTCTAAAATTTATTACACTCAAGGATAGTGTTCAGTCGAAACGTTTATTAAGCATCAAATAATTAAACATCAGATTTGTAAAGCCATAATGAACTTATTCTTTCATCATTTGTTTAATTAATCCGATTCTAAACGATTACATAGCACACATCATATATCAATCAATATTAATTATATAATTTAATTGGAATCCCTCCTCACACCCGCACAGACTTATGTCTGGCACTCCAATTATGTTTGTTTAGTATTTTGTAGTTTTGTTTTCGTATATTTCAATTCGTTTATCAATCTAATTATATATTGTATAATACATTTTTGAATACAACATTTCGTGTTTCATTTATTTTATCGTAATTTTTATTGTTGAAAATTTTAATATTTTTGAGTGAAGACACTCTGGACAGAGCCACATATAATTGTCCGTGAGAAAAGACGTCTTCAGGCAAATATATGGCAACATTTTTTAGTGTTTGTCCTTGACTTTTGTTTATAGTCATTGCATAGCAGACGCGAACAGGGAATTGCTTTCGTCGGATAGTATACGGCATATCAGAATCAGAAGGCGATAATGTCATTTTAGGTATTAGTACTGTATTACCCTTTTTCGGTCCAGTAATAATTTCTGCTACAATAACGTGCGAAAGGAATTCTTTGCAGAGAAGTTGAGTCCCATTGCATAGGCCGTTAGTTGGGCTGAGATTTCTCAAAAGCATTATTGGAATGTCTTTCTTTAGTATCAATTTATGTGGTGGTAAACCACTGTACGTAAAGTTTTGAATCTGGTCAATTTGCATCATATTTTCGTGCTCTGGATTGACAAAAGTGTCTGCACTGAGATATACATGTTCAATCTCTGGGTTTCGATTAATAATTTTTTCATTAATGTCATCGACATATGAATTCTTTGTAGTCAGAATTGTCCATTCATTTAAACTGTCGTAAATTTCATCAATGAATTCATTGTCTGTTTTCGATTTAGAACACATCTCTTCTGGCAATTCAATCATTTCTTCTACATACGAACCTGTAGCTTCTCCGATATTGAGCAAAAATTGAGAAAACTGTTGTGATTCGGACGCATTCGATTCGGATAGAAGTGCCCTTTGATTAATAGTCAATTTGCAAACTTTAATTGACTTCCAAAGAAATGATTTATTTATAGTCATATCACATATATCGCTCGGAGAACCATTTTTCACTACAGGAAGTATTTGTCTGAAATCACCTCCAAAGACAACAACTTTGCCTCCGAATGGCAAATCTAATTTTGTAATATCTTTGAATGTTTTGTGAACAGCCTCAAAAACGAATTTATTGGCCATTGGGGCCTCGTCCCAAACAATTAGTTTTGTCTCTCGAATAAGGTCTGCCAAATCTGAGTCTGCAGGTATATTACACACAGAGGTTTCCGTAATATCAATTGGAATTTTGAATCTGGAATGAGCTGTTCTTCCGTTAGGAAGAAGTGTTGCAGCGATTCCTGAAGTCGCAACAGCGAGGACAATGTTTCCATCTGATTGCACTTTTTTAATTAGTGCATTATACAGGAAAGTTTTTCCAGTACCACCTGGACCGTCAATGAAAAACACTTTAGATTCATCGTTGTCATTTTCAAGAGTGTTCAATATTGTGTAATAAATTGCTCTTTGTTCTTCATTGAATAGCATTGACGCAACATCGGCTTCGTTGCTTAACTCAGGCAAATTTGTTGGAAGCTCTTCAATTAGTAAACTTGTGGTGGCGCCAATTGTTTCATCATATAATGGCATTTGTGGAAAATTTTTTAATGATTTGTTTTGCGCAATAAGGATTCTTTCAATTTCACTTAAAGCTTTGTTTACAAACCGTTCTCTGAGCTCTTGTGGTATATCTTCAATAAATAATTCTCGGAATGGTTCGTATTCTCGTACATAGTCGAGTATCATTTCGGATTCAAATTTATTCCACAATTCTTTCGGATTTATTAGTTCGCCGAAAACCAATAGCATAGCAAATAAATGTCTTAATTGGTTTGGCATTTGCTTTAGAGCTGCCTCCCTTAGGCACAACTCAGATTCGTTATCATTCATAAGCAGACCGATTTCTTGGGCCGCTTCTTTGTATGTGTCGAAGATTATTTCATTAACTGTACGCAAATCTTCGTAACACTTGGCTCCAGCGATGTGTGAAAGCATAAGACTCAAATAATATTTCTCTCCATCGCGAGGATTAATGAAATACTTTCGTCCAATAGTTGGATATGTCTGTTGATTAACTCGTTTTTTCCAGACCTTTTCATCCCATGTGTAATATTTGGGGAATTGATCGTATAATAGAGTCAGTGGATCTGGATTTTCATTTCCATTATAATCTTTGTTATATGCCATCCACTGAGTTAATGTAGTATTAGCAAATTTAATGCTTTGATTTTCTACATTTATGTCATTTGGATCATTTGGGTCAAAATATACCGGTTGTTCTTTTGGCAAATGCACAGCTAACAGCAGTACTTTATGAGACATCTTTTGAACAGAATTTCCAAAAATTCTCCACATCGCTGCGGGTGAACAAATATATCTACAGGTCTCGTAAAGATTAATTTCATTGATTGCCTGTTTTCTAATGTTTTGGTCAATCACTGCATTAGTAATGTGAATGTCGGCTTTGTCTGATCCTTTATAAATATACTTAAATAAGTATTTAATAGCAGTAATGTTATCACAATATTCAACATTTATATGTGAATCAAACATAGAAGAGAGATATGGGTTGTACGGAACAACAAATTGATTGGTCAATTGTTTACCATTTACAGTAATGGTTCCAGTATCTCGCCTCTTGTACTTCGGATAGCCGTTATTATCGTCGTGTGTTCTCTCAACGAATGGTTTTGGAAACCCTTTTGTGCATTTGTTATTTTTTAAACAACGGTCAGGTTTGCATTCGTGAATCATTGTTTTAGTTACTGTATTAAACAGATTCATAGCCAATTGATTGTTTTCGTCACGTATTGGTATTTCAGCACAAATAATTTTATCGTAATCTTCAGAATTTCGTGGCTTATCACCATCGGCCACCCAATATAGTGTGTGGCCATGCAAATTCCCTCTTTTTTGTTCTTCAATTACAGACACGTATGCAATTACTTTTCCGAAAATGTGTTTATCTGTAATTAATTCTCTCAACTCCTTATTGTGTTGTCTGAACACTCTTGCAATGATGTCAGCCCTATTATTGGCCGGTTGACCTGCCAGTGCATTCATAATGTCCGGATGGTTAAGATTACATGTATTTGTAACAAATAAATTTGGTTTACCTTTTTCGCGAGCAATAGCCATTGCATTTTGAAATTGATCCAATTGCCAGCGGGGCGAATTGGCGTGACTGCTCGGAAGAATTACTCTTTTACCGACATTTCGGAGGTCAGCGCCACCATATAGTGAATCAAGATATCCTTGATATGTGTCAGCTCTGATCTCTTTCTGATGGGTCCTTAAATAATGTAATCTATTTGAGTCAATTTTAGCCCACGCATCACACATATATTGTTGTGTCAGTCGGCCAAAGAGAAAAATATTTGGACATTCATCTCTGTAATGCAATCGATAAGAATAATAGTCCATTAGTGTTAGTTTTGATTTGTTGTCTGTTTGATATAAATTGACATCCCATCCAAAGTCGCCTCGTGGGAACATAAGTGGATAGCTTAATGGATCACAACTTCTGTCCGTCTCTTTGATGCTCACCAAGTGATTATCATTATCTCGAAACGGGATTATAATGTCTCGACGACAATCTTCATTTTCAATGGAAGTCAATACAGCAATATCATTGCAAGTTGGGGCACAATATGTTCCATCACGATTCGATTTCCGTGATGTGTCGCCTTTGATTTGTAATAACAAATTCGTTGCTGAGTTATGTTTTTGTGCCTCAAATGCTGTTTTAATAAATTTAATGAATGGGTTTACCTCTTTGAGCATATCTAATAGGTTTTGCAATATAACTTCATTTAAACCATCGGTTACGCTAAGTCTGTTGGCAATTTCATTGTCTGTGTCATAGAAATACAACTGAGCGAATTTGGGCTTTTGCTCCTCACTTGGTGTAAGGGATCCCATCTTGTGAGTCATCGCTCCTTGAATTTTGTAAGTAAATGGACCGCGGCTTTTGTCGTCCAACACTTTGTCGTTGAGTGCGCCAACAGAAACCATTGCCAAATTTGAGTTATAGGCTCTTATGTACTTATTGAAATGAGTACTGGTGTCAGAATTTATAAATAAATCCAACAATTCTTTCGGGAGTGGCTCAAGTGCATTGAGTTTCACTTTTCCATTATTACAGCATTTATTATAAAGTGGGTTCGCTTTGGTTCCTCCAGTTTTCTCACACATCCAGAAATTTGCGAAACAATGTGAACACTTCTGGTCCATTACTCCAATACTGAACCTCTCTGCGAGAGTTTTTGTCTTCGCAATGTTATACAAAGGAGACAATGAATTTCGTGTATTTGCAAATCGTTCTCTATCTCGAGTTTGTCTTTGTAATGTTTCTTCTACAGTTTCATTTGCCCGATTTGTTCTCACAGAGTCTCTAATTATTTGTTGTCTTTGCTCTGTTTCTCTTTGTGTTTTTGTTTTTTGTGATCGTTTTTCTTTCTCTTTTATCAATCTTTGTTCTCTCTCATAGTCTGTTTCAATAGCTCTTTTCTTGCGTTGTCTTTCGCGATCTTTCTCTTGACGTTTACGCTTTTTCTCTTCATTGTGCTTATGCAACCACAATTCTGCTTCTGTGAATTTCGAGTTGTTCGTAACAACTTCCATCGATTCATTATTAGAGGAAAGTTCGTAATCGATTTCCATGTGTTCAACGTTAAGAATATTTAATTCATTAAAATGTGATCCGGATGGACTGCAGTCCATTGCAATATGAGCCTGAACACCAAACGCCGATCCGTTCGGGGGTCCATACGTTAGTTGTTGCCCTGGTGAAGGTGGTCGACATGTCGACATCGTGTTAGCCGCAGCACAGTCTGGGGCACATCTTGGCGAACACAAATGCGGGCCGTTAGTTGTCCAAGGATGGTTGTCATGGATTTGTGACGTTTTAATCTTTGTATTGATTTTTACAAATGCATGGCATGTGTGGTGTCTCTCAGCCTCTCCTTCTTCCTCCTCTTCAGTAGTCTTCCTCTTCTTCGGCTTCATCTGTTATTTAATGCACACAAAAAATAAATGCATTAATTATTTACCAGAAAAATGTCATAAACTTATATGAAATTAGAATTTTTATGAATAAATTAATATAGTTTTCATAAATTATAGATTATATTATTGTATATAAACTCTCTTCTCATTAAAAATAATTAATACACTTTTGGACCGAAAAGCAGAAAAATAATTATAATTATTAAAATTATATTTTCAATAGACTCTGATATAACATTTGCTTATCATATAAATCAATTTCATTAAATGCCAGTTTAAACATCCGGATCAATAAACAATGATTTACAAAATAAAAATAAATGTACAATAAATCTATACATAGAGTGGCAGTAAAATTGTCAAACAAAACAACGCAAACACACATATAGTAACAGAAGCGACGGCCAGAGAGGCGCCGGAGGGTATATACCCCTCGACATAATTAAAATTTACGCTCACATTATAGCCATAGTACTGACACTTAGGCTCGTAGTAGATATCGACGGGTATAAAGTAGAGGCCCGGGTGTTGACTGTCCTCAAGGAGTTGACGGGGAGGCGCGCACTCAACGAACCGGTGGTTATCAAAGTAGCCAAAGTATCCGTCCATTCCTAACGGTCCGACCGGTCGACTCTTGTCAGCCCGCGGGTCGTCATCGAAATACCGACATTTATGGTAATAACCGATATTATTGGGTATTATATACGTCTCCCGATTGTGCGGATCGGGCACCAGACGGCTAGGCTTGTCGCACGGGTAGAAATGGCCATGGTCATTGAACCCAAACGTACCTTTCATTCCCTTAGGTCCGGCCCGTCGGATGCCGTCCGCGTTATGCGCTCCGTATATATCGATGCTATTTGGCAATTGGTTTTGTCCATCATTTGAGTCCAGAATTTGACTCTCGATTCTTGTATTCTTTACGTTTGGTTTGACAACAGAATCGTTGGGTTTGTCGTCAGTCCTCTCATCCGAAGCCAATTCTTAAACCAATAAAAAGCAAATCAATTTCTACTGTAATATATTGTTAGCAAAATTAAATTTGCTTTTATTATAATAAATTTAATTTATTTTATAGCATTTGTTGTAAATTCACTGTAAAAAGCTATTAAAATATTTATAGATTATATATTTTAATGCATTATCAAAATGCAAAATTATAGATATAATGAACGAAACCATTAAATAATAAAATCAATTTAAATCAAGAAAAGCATTAACAGAATAAATACTGTATTACATAGAAATATATTTACCATACATTAGGCAATATTCACATATAATTACAAGAATAAAGCATTAACTGAATAGTTATATATTCAGTAAATGTCTTAGAAATAAAGTATTTATAAAAGCCATCGCATCAGAGGCTGTGAAACGAGAGATAATCTCTTCGTAATGAATGTAAAATCACGTATTTATTGCTGACATATTATTTTTGTCCCCAAAAGGCATATTAAAAGCACGACATTAACTCAAATTGCAAATCATGTATTCATATAAAAATCAATGCATTTCAACAAACATCAAATAAATACAGTTTTTTATGGTTCACACAAAACACTGTGAATGCATTCGTATGAATAAAAAGCTAATTGAAAGCAATATAATTGATATGATATGCCATACCTGACGGCCAGTGATAATTGGATGCCATTTGTTGCTCAATGAGCTTCTCTTCGGTGGGCATATATCTGCTCTTCTGTCCGGAATCGTAGCTCAGATAATAGGGCGGAACCGATGGCAGCGGCGGTAGTGGTGGAGGCGGTGATGAACCAGTGGTCACACTATTAACTAACAATTGGGACACAACTGTCTCGTTATGATTAGGTCTATAGCGTTGATAATTTTGCAAAACGAGATGACGGCGAGCCTTCGCTCGGCCGCCGCCGCCCTCTCGTTGGCCACTATTGTTCCCGTCGTCCGAGTCCTCGAAGTACCACACATTGTGCTCATGTCTTGTGTTCGCTCTCTGGCTAATGATATTATTCCTAATGTTGTGGTTGTGATAGTTGTTGTTGTGGTGGTTGTGATGGTTGTTGTGATGTATATGAACGGCGAATACACAGCAAATTGATTGCACCAATAAGTGAGACAAATATACGGTCGAGAATTTCATTGCCTTTTTTGAATGTAAATATCAAGAATATTCTGTAGGAATCGGAGAGTCCGACAAATATATAAACTAAATATTAATGCAACGATTAGTGCAAACAAATACTCCTCTCGTAAGTGATAGTAGAGGAGAGAGAAAAGGGAGTGATCTTTGGTTATCTTCTTCTCTCTTTCAACACATGTATAATACTTTTTGAATGAATACTAAATTAAAATTTCATATTTCGCATAACAATATATATATTTATATACATATAATATAATATCACTTCAAATTCTAGTGTCTATTTCGCTCTCTTCTCTATAATAATACAATTATTTTCATTCAAAATCAATCCAACGGTCCGTTTGGATGGTTGTCATGGATTTGTGACGTTTTAATCTTTGTATTGATTTTTACAAATGCATGGCATGTGTGGTGTCTCTCAGCCTCTCCTTCTTCCTCCTCTTCAGTAGTCTTCCTCTTCTTCGGCTTCANGAGTTGAAAGAAGAGAAAGAAGCGTCAGAAAAGGCGAATCAGAAGTTCGGAGAAGAGATGTCTCTAATGAGAGAACAATTGGAGGAGAAGATCAAAGACGTGATTGACATGAAGAGAACGATTGATAGTAAATCCGAAGAGAATAAACTGTTGAATGACTCGAAAGATGTTTTGATACAACAACTCAGTGATAGAGAGGACAGCATTGAAAATCTAAAGCATGAAATGAATTCAGTTATTAAAGAGAAAACACTTCTGGAAACACAACTTAAAGAAGAGAAGATGAATGGCATTCAAGCGATTCAAGAAATTGAAAGCCGTTTAGAAGAGAAATGTTGTCAATACGAGTCTATTCAGAAAGAGGTCAACGAAAAGAATCAAGAATTGGAATTAATAAAAGTCAATTGCAATCAAATGGAGGCCAATGTCGAGCGCTTGTCGTCAGAATATCTTAGCCTTCAGTTAGAGAGTGAGTCCCAAAGTAAGGCAAACAAAGAACTCATCCAAACTCTGCAAACGGAAAATGAAAGTCTAGAAAAAGAGTTGAAAGAAGAGAGAAAAGTGTCAAAAATGGCGAATAAAAAGTTTGAAGAAGAGGTGGATTTCATAAGAGAACAGTTGGACGTGAAGATAGAAGAAGCGATTGATTTGAAGGAAAAAATCGGTGAATTAGAAGAACAGAACCAATCAGTGGTTGAATCAAAAGTAGTTTTGATTCAAGAATTAAATGATATGAAAGTTATGGTCGAAACTACAGCCGAAGAAAAGCGAGTCATAAGTGAAACAAATGCTGTTTTGACTCAAAATATTGAAGAGAGTAAACAACAGATCCAGAAAACAAACGAAGAAAACCAATTGTTGAGCGAAACAAAGGATGCCTTAACTGAAGAACTCAATGATATGAAGACAAGAATTTATGAGAATATGAAACGTGAAATGGAGTCCATTATTGAAGAGAAGACGCATTTGGAAACACAACTCAATGAAGAGAAGGTGAGTGTCATTACTGCTAATCAAGAGATTAAGAATCAATTGTTTGAATTGAAGACCAAATTGGAGGAGAAGTGCTGTCAATACGAGTCGATCCAAAAAGAAGTTAAGAATAAGAATCAAGAATTGGATTTATTAACAACTGATTGCAACCAATTTAAAGCCGAAGTCAACCAATTGTCTGATGAATATCTTAGTCTTCAATCAGAGAGCGAATCCCAAAAGAAGGAAAACGACGAAACCATCAAAACTCTGAAAACAGGAATTGAAAGCTTAGAAAACGAGTTGAAAGAAGAGAAAGAATTGTCAGAAAAGATGAACAAAAGGTTTGCAGAAGAGACGGATTTAATGAGAGAACAATTGGATGTAAAACTACAAGAAATGGTTGATATAAATGAAAGAATAAATAAGATATCAGATGAGAACAAATCATTGGTTGAATCAAAAGAAGTTTTAGCCAAAGAATTAAATGATTTGAAAGTTTTAGTCAACAATACATCTGAAGAGAAGAGAGCAATGAGTGAAGCGAATAAAGTTTTGACTCTAGATATGGAAGACATTAAACTCAAGAACGAGAAAACAGTTGAAGAGAACCAAATGTTGAGCGAAACGAAAGATGTGTTAACACAAGAACTCAATGATATAAAGAAACAGATTTATGAGAATATGAAACGTGAAATGGATTCCATTATTGAAGAGAAAATTGTTTTGGAAACACAACTCAAGAACGAGAAGTTGAATGGCATTAAAGCCAATGAAGAGTTGCAAGAAATGCATGCAATTGTCGACAAACGGTTTACGTCTCTAAAGAGAGAAAAGTCAAGTTTGGCTCAAATGTTATCCGAAGAGCAGAACAAACGCTTACAACTTGAGAGTCAATTGACTGAAAGCAAGCGAAATGAGAAAACTATCGAAGAATACGAGAAGACTATTAAAGATTTGAATACACGACTCAATACCGAAGAAATGTCTTTTATGTTTGAGAGGAAGACTAAGGAAAGAATGTTCAAAGAGAACGAACAATATTCACGAAAAATCCAATTCCTTGAAAATGAAGTGAAAAAACTAAACGAATTGTTGACCGCAAACAGAACATCACCCGTCGTTTCCACGGCCCCAGTCTTCTCAATGCCGACAACAGTCAACATTCACACGACTCAACCAAACAATCAAACAAATCTGAGTATATCTCCGATGGAAATCTCGCACTCGAACCCCAATTCAAGTAGTTTTTCATTGAATATAAGCCGAAAGCTTCCGACGGGAACCGGGAGTCGGTTGACGATGGCTGACGAAGACGGAGAGTTCATGGATCCCAACAATTTGATTGCACTAAAACGTG